GGCTAGTCTCTGTGCCACATGCCGATTACTCCTCTGGGATTTAAGAAATCCTAAAAACAAGGCTTACCCAGTGCGCTAATGGGCAAAGGAAGTACCTAGCAACAAAACATCCCAGTAAACCTTTGTGCCCTAGGCTTTTTTTGTGTGTTTTGGTTGCTCAGCTTGGAATCCCCAAAAGGGTTTAGTTAAGACAATTTGTAGATATAGATGGACACTCAACTTCTTTTGTTCCTGTACAAAGATCTCTGGGACTATAGGACAACAAATGGCCCAAAATTGGCATAAATATTCAGTTACTTGTAAGTATGGGCTGGACTTGACAGAAGAAGTAGAAGAAGTATCCATCAGGATTGTCAGCACGGAACCCTTCCCCAGTACTAAACACTTGCCACCTTTAGCTCTTCACAACATTTATTCTCCTTTTCTTAAAGCAGGGGTAGCATCTCCCCAGGTGGGAAAGTAGGTTTGCGACTGTGGTCCATGTCTAGATCTGATTCACGGTTCTAATCAAGTGTATTCGGAACCAGGATTTGCCTTTGTTAGTCATATAGAAAATTTGTAAAGCTTTAAGGTGCTCAGAGGTGGCTGATGTATTTGAATTTGTCTGTTCTGCTGTAACCTTTGTCATCCTGCTGAGACACAGAATGTAATTTAAAATAACGCTGGCATTTAACGTGCTCTTACCTTTCATGATAGGTGAATTTCCCCCTCTGACCTGGAAACATTCAGATGCTTAAAGGGACTCTGTCATTCCTGGGAACGCTGAAAGAAATGGAGTGTTTGGGGCCTAAGCAGGCATGTCAGCACGTTTGCAGCATCCCTGCATTGCTCAGCTCTCTTAATGAGGTGGAATTTGAACTGCGGGTTTGTAGACACTGATGGCATTAGTCATAGCACCGATACTCAGGAGCACGTTCCTCTTTGGTTTGCATCATGATTAATGCTACCTCTTTGCTTACCTGTGGCTTGGCGAGTTGTCATTAACCATTTAGGTCCTCGCAAACTTTTGATATGGGTGGGAAAACTGTTACCGAAGCAAGTCAGGAGGTTGTGTTTGGCCTGAAAGCCCAGGACTTGTCTGGGAAAGGCAGGAGCAGGCACATAAAGGCAGTATCTGACCAAAGGGACCATTGTGCAGCCCTTGAATGTACGTCGCAGCTCTGGGGGTCTGTGCTGCAATCTGCTGACTGCTGGAGGAGGTTGGATTTACCGGTGTGTGGTTGGGGTGCTCCCCTGTGGCCGAGCGAGCGCCTTGGGGGACGGAGCACAGCGCCCGGCAGCTGGAGATACCCCAGCGTGTAGCTGCAGTGGGGTGGAGGTTGCTCTTAAGGGAATTAAATCAACACGGATGCATTTTCCTTAGTTTGTTGCCATTCCATGGACAGTGTGCCGCTGCCATACACGTTCCAGATGTAACATGGCAGGCCTAGCTGCCCAGCAGCACGGATGGTTTCCCCATGCACATCATCCCTCCAGGGATTCAAACCCTGATGCTATATCCTTGCTTGATGCCTATTATTTATTTAATAAAAGAGGGAATATAGTGCAAGCTTTGGTAGTTCAAAAAGGGCATTTCACAGTGCTGAGTCCTCTTTTACCAAGCTAAGTGGGAAATCTATACGTGATAGCTCAGTATCCTCGTATAAGAAACAGATGCAGTTGCTATTGCTGCATGGCAGTCGTCTTTTAGAGCGATGTCTGCTCTAAACAAACCGGTCCAAGAGTCCCCCATCTAGAAGAAGCAGATATTTAGTTTGTTCTATGGGACACTTAACCAGCTACTCCGTATTCAAAAGCAAATGCTTAATAACCCATGCCTAAGGATCTCATGATTCTTTAAACAGTAAATCTTCTGGTTTGGAGTTGTACACGTATTTGGAGATGATAGGTTTATCACTAAGAGCTAATCTGTTAGAGAACTATAGCTTAATTTCTGTAGTTAACTAATTGAAAAAAAAAAGAGAAAGAAATTTCAAGCTGCAATTAGACCTATTAAAACAAGTACTGCTCACTCAATGGCTTATAGTGGTCTGTACAACTAAGATAAATGTGTAATTACGAGGTTTGCCCAAACATGATTAAAGCTAATCATGTGTTTGAGGCCGTCTAATATTGGTGTGTACATGAGATTGTGTTCAGTTTATGTGAGCTTAAACCAGCTCATCCTTTTTGAAGGAAATTGATGAAGTAACTTTGGCATCTTGTTAACATTTACCTCACATCAGGAAAACCCTGGCAGGATTGCGTGGGCCTATGGCTGCTGGTGGGGTAGTATCATTGACAACAGCAGTCAGACCAGTTCCTCCTGACCTTGGCCTCTCACTCTAGGTGTTGCTGGTGGTTAATGGTAGTAAAGCAGGTGGGAATAAACTTCTTATATAAACTTAATATATACCAACTGCTGCTTGGGGAAATTTAGTTAACAGTTCCCTGTTTTCTGCTGCTTCTAAAAGCAGAAAATACAGAGTAGTGTTTGGCTGGGAGCAGCCTTTTTTTGTCTCACTAAATTGCTGAGCATCCTGGGTTTGGACAAAAAGGAAAAGGTGAGTGGAAAGGGGGGAAGAAGCCTGCTGCAGAGGAAATGGCGGCAGTGGGAAATGGCCGCCGGGAGAGGGTATGATATAGAACTAATTGTAAGTAATTCCCTAAGCCTGTTGTAGATTTTCCTATGATCTGTTTGGTCATTACACCTAAATAGTTGCCTGGTCCATAGGCTGCAGTATGTCATCTCTGAATGGCAACACCGCTCATGTATTTATGCGGATCATGTTTTTATAACATTAGCTTCATTACCACCTAAGGTCAGGATCTCATCTCTTAAACCTGGATGCCTCTGCTTCAGGGGATATAGTTTATAAAATACATATAGAATATATAGTATATACGGAGTGTGGGAGCATGGCATGGCCTAGGGAGGAGGATTTAAGAAGGAATGGGAGGAGAGGGACGAACATGGTGCTGATTGCAAATGTTTTCAGCAATCTAGGTCTCTGCTTCAGCAGTGGTGATTGAGCCAAGCCACTGTTCACAGCAGCAGGAAATCTTTCCTGCATTCAACAGGGCTGAAAACCTTGTTAGTTGGAGGAAATACTTGTACAATGCATTCCCTGGGAGATGCCTTTTTGTGCGGGAGTTTCAAGTCTGAGGAACATCCCTTGCATGCACAAGCTTGTCATTCTCCAGGTGTAACCATCCCTGCCTGCACACTCGTTCCAGGTATGAGAGATACCTATGTTGCCTGTCAAACTCCTAGTCGTCCAGATCTGAACCTCTTAGGAAATCAAGATCAGCTTCCAGTTTCCCTGCTTTCCACATCCGTGTGACTAAGTCGTCAAGCGTGTCCCAGCTACTGTTGCTCATTCCGAACACATTGGTTACCCGCGCAGCGATAGCTGTCAGCGTGTTTCTGCAGTATCGTGGAGGGGTTCGACGTTGGGCAATAGGCATAAATTAAATAGCTTGAGTCACACTGTTGCCCTTTCTGCACACACCCACGTAAGCCTGGTAAGTATGTACAGCTTGTGGGAGATGGATGAGTGACAGCATGGCTGCAAACACCCTGCCACCAAACAAGGAACCTGTACGCAGAAAATAGGCTTTGTTGAAGGATTTACAACAAAATAAGAGGAAGTGAAGAGTATGTGAAATCCTTTGTTTGCATGGCTGTAGGAATATTTAAGAAATTCTTTTGAAGAGGGGATTAGAGCAAGGAAAACAATGGAAACATTCCAGTGGTAGAACTTTTTGTCTGTTGATGGGTGTATTGGTGACCAAGGTAAGGTACTGGTGAAGCAAGCCCCTAAATTCCGGCTCAGGTTTGCTGTATGGTGCAGCTTCAGTTGCTCTGCATCATTGAGCTTTTCCATTTATTGGAGAGGAATGAGCAATTGTTCTTTATTCTTAAAATACATGCATGTTTAAGGACATACCATAATCCCTGCTGCTCTTATTGCAAATAATTTATAGTATATTGAGGATTTGTAAAGGTTACATTTGTAGAAATTGGTTTCTCTGCTCTTCTCTTGTGGTTTTAGCTTTCTACAATCAATAGTGGTTGAATTTTTGCACAGACAGTGACTTCTGAGTGTAGCTCCAGTTGCTTGGTGTCCAAGACCTTGACTGTGCTCATGTATCAGAAGTTTAGATATCAAATCATCATGCCTTGTGCCTTCAACCAGCGAAAACTGCAAGTATATTGAAAAACGTGGGCACATGGGTTTGAAAATCAGATCCTTGCAGTTTACAAAAATGTTGGCTGAAATAGAGCAAGAGGCCATGGAGATAAATCGGCTAGATGAGGAATTCCTACTCTTCCTTTTAGGCTGTGTTGTACTGAGTGAGGATCATGGTCTGCTCAGGAGTGCCTTTGCAACATGCTCCGTTGCCTTGCGTGGCTCTCAATCTTGCTCCTGATGGCTCTGCTTGCTGAACGGATTATTATGCTCAGGTGTCTCCTGATAAAGCTCAAGTCTCATATTTCCACTGCGTTGTGCATCTCAGCTCAGTTTATAATCTAAGGCTTTTCAGAAGTATTCAGTATCAGCCAACTCTGCCTTCCTGCTGCGAGGGGAAGATTTCCACCGTTTTCAAGGGAAGTGGAGTGAAATCAGCACTTAGCATTTTTGAAAATCCTCATTCAATAGCTTCTAATCAAGGAAATAAAAATCATGGGCTTGAGGGGCTGCAGGCTCAAGCCTTTGTCAGCTTTGAAGAGCTTTCAGAGTTTCACCAGGCCTACCTTGTCCCTGAGCAGGCGGGGAGGTGCGATTGCGAGGAGCCTGTGTTGGAGCTCCCCACCACCCCAATCCTCCCTCTGTCGGGGCAGGGTGACAAATGCAAGGAGTCTGTGCTTTTAAACAATAAAGAAATAAGTACAGGGGTGTCACCCTCACAGCACATGGGCATATATTTCTCTGTTTAGTTGGCTTTCATACATGTCCACTTCGAAAGAAAAAAAAGATAAAGGGATCCTTGTTAAAATATTTCATTTCTTTTCTCAGTATTTCTGGCTTTTCGTGCTCTCACGAGGTTTGGTCGGTATCGGTGAAGCAAGTTACTCCACTATTGCCCCAACCATCATAGGAGACCTTTTCACCAAAAACACAAGGACCCTTATGCTGTCTGTTTTCTACTTTGCGATACCTCTTGGCAGGTAAGTGACTAGTTCTTTTTTCGTCTGCTTTTTGACTTTAAGCTAGCACATGTCCTATGCTTCTAAAGATAACTCTGCTGTCTTTGCCTGGAATGGTTTAGACAGGAAAATAGTGTGAGCAGTGACTAATTAGTTGCAGGAATTAGTTTCTTATTCTGTTACTGGTTCATGTGTGACTTTGGGGAATTAGTAGGAAGGGTTGTTTTTTTTTTTTTTTTTTTTTCCCCTCTTACTGGACTTGCTCTTTTTTGGAGCACTGTTATATTAGACTATCTGTTTGAGTAATATATTGGTTTTCTTAATTGCTGCTTTGAATCATTTGAGATTTAGGCCTCCTTCAGCCAACATCTTTCAGATCTCTGCAATCTAGATGATAGCTTATGTTAAGACATAGGGCTGTTTTCAAAGTTCTGTGTGACGATGCAAGTGTCTGTGGTTTCAAGAGAGATGTACACATGATTTGGAATTTGCTTTTTCAAGCTCTGTCTGTTTAAAATTAAAATTCTGCTCAACTTCTGCTGGATTTGGTCAGTCTAAGTGTCAATCCATTGTAGAGCTGCTGCTGAAATAGCAACACAGAGAAATTAAGTCTAGTGCAGACAGGGTTGAAGAGAGAAGCCGTGATGAGAGCTCACACTCAACCTTACAGGAGCGGTGGAGGACAGCCAAGCCCATAGATGCCTGATGAATGCAACAGATTTAGAGTAATTATTTCCTCTGGCACTTTCTTTCAGTCAAGTTGCCTTATCAGCCCGATGCAGTATCTGATGGCTGGGACAGAAGGGATTCTGTGATTCTTTTATTTTGTTAAAATAATGGCTGACCCTCTATTGTGAGGCTGTAGGCAGGTTGGGTTCGAGCAGCTTGCTTGCTGATTCCCAGAGCTGGACAACTTCCAGTGGAAAAGTGGCACTATGAGTTCATTTCCAGTAGCGAAAGCCTGGACAGCAGGAATATCCCCCCAGTGCAGAGAAAAAACAGCTGGTTTAGGCTGGTAGCATACATTTAGTTACGGAAGTAGTTATGCATTTAGTTATATAAGTTAGAGGAAGCACCTTCAAGGTAAAATTTGTTCCTTTGGTTTTTTTTTTTCATAGGCTATGGAAAACGTCTTTCCATAGGTAGTTAGAACCAAATTCCATTAAGTGATAAAAAACAATGTTGGAGTATGGTGGTCCTTTAAAGTCACTTTGTTAATTGAGAGTTGAAGATAAAACTGTAGGCATTCATATGAGTAAGCAGAAAAGCGTGATGTAGAAATTGAATTGTCAAGCAAGTTCGTTCTGAGGCTTTATTTCCATCCCCTGTATGAAGAGGAAACCTTGAATTTCAAGTCAGTGTCCAAATTTCCATCAGATTCAGGCGTTTTTAGACAGATAGTGCTGGGAAGAGTTATGTATTCTTCATCAACTGCCCTGTTTTTCTTAGAGCCTAAGGCACACGATTGAGTGCAACTGTGTTGTTACCTTTGTTTAAGATATCTTTGCTTAAGATATCTTTGTTTTAAGAACACCTTTGTTGTGGTACTGTATTAAAACTGCCTCCCAACTTTGTTTTCCTTGCAGTGGCTTGGGATACATAACTGGGTCAAGTGTGAAGCAGGTTGCTGGAGACTGGCATTGGGCATTGCGGGCAAGTAACATTTTTAATTTTTTGGATAACAAGTTGATTTTTTTTTTCTTTCAGTAAAATTAAACATAGTGATCTCTCCCAATTATCCTTTAGTAAGCGTTAGCCATGCTTTTGGGAATCTCTCTGTCTTTCCTTGGTGAAGATCCCCCTGGATGGTATTCAGTCCTACGCATCAATTTTAAGAACAACCTAGCAGTAGTATCTGTTGATCCACATTATGGGGAGAAGGGTTGTATCACACTAATCCTCTGCCTAGTATGAAGATGGTGGAGGACTGGAAACTACATAAAAGAATATTAAGTGCAGAGCAGATGCATTCTCAGAGCAAATGGGAAAGTTATTTGGCTCCTTGTGCTTATTTTTTTTTTCTGCCTAAGAGCATCAAATTTCCAAGGACTGTGTTATCAGACAGCCATGATTTCTTGATGGTGATGAGAAGATGAGGCATTGGCCTTAAATCAACTCCATAGCGTTTCACTTCCCTGCTGTCAAGAAACTCTGAGAATGGCTTCCTGCTTTGAGGAAAAAACACTTTGTTCCAGTTTCCGCTTGTTTTTCTGCCCTGAGACAGTCGGTTTCCTTCTATTTTAACCTCTTGAGACCTTGATAAATGTGTTGAAAAGATAATACGCTCCACTCGCATACGCACAAACAGCTCGTGCACACAAAGATGTCTTGAAAGAGCTGGCAGGAAGGGGCCCAGCAAAACTGGTCCCTGACCTTTGGCAGCCTGGGTGGCACGAGCCACAGAGAGGTGAGTTCTCTGGTACATTATGAAGACAACAAATCTGGTGAAGCCCTGGCCAGCACCATTTGTACTAGCAGGTGATAAAACATCTGAGTTCTTACCTCAAGCAAATGGGGACACAAGTTGCACGCTTCAATGAGAGTTGTTTAGGAAATAATTGCTTATTTTGCCCAGTAATAACAGCATGTGTTGGAAACCGCCGACCGTCAGTGTTAAGCAACCTCCATGGCGGTGTCAATCACTGGCCTCTTGCGAGTCATGCGCTAGGATTCCCCTGGGTGATGCCTCTCTCTGTGATCCCCCTGGTCTCCAAGTCCAGGGGTGGTCAGGAATAACAAGTACTTCAGTAGGCTGAAGAAGACAGAAGGGCTCTTCAGCAGATGGCCGTATCTAGCAGTTATGTCAGTGTTTCATTAGAGTGATCAAGGGATATAGTTCTGTTGTTCTACCAGAGGAGGAAGCCATCAAACAAAAAATCAGAGAAGCCTAGAAAATCCCAGGCATTTCTTCTTTTCTTTTTCTGGGAGGGGAGTGGGGGTGAGGGAGCGCACAGTACTGTGCCCTGTGCTTAGCTCTGATAAGGATAGTATCAGTCTTGATTTATCCTTGATTGAGGGTTTCTTACGCCTTTCCAGTTCTGAAATATTTTCATCTACCCTTTCCTGGAAGAGTTTGGACCTGTATCCCTGCTCTGCAGGTGTAGACCGTTCTCACATTAGTGTTGGAGGCATGTTTTGGGGAACAAGAATTTCATTTTGAAAATCACATGTTCAAGAGAAAAAATGTTGGAAAGCCATATTCCTGTTCTCCTAGCAGAGCTCTTTTTCATGCTAGCAATGATGCCTTTTAGTGTTGCAATAGGATTCACATTCATAGCTCAGAAGGCACCATGAGATCTTTGCCTAGATGTTGAGCGAAGATTCCCAGGAGACTGGGAAACCTAACCCTTGAATGTGTCATTTTTCTGTGTTCCCGGCTGAATTTTTAGGTTTTCTTGGTCTGCTGCACGCTCTGGTCATCTGAAGGAGAGGCCTGAATATGGAAAGCCAGTGCAGGTTGCTGGAAGAACATGGAAAGGGATGCATGTCAAGCAGAGATGCTCTTTATTCAAATACAGCATGCTCCCTGCTTCCAGAAATCTTTCACTTGGTCAAAGTGACCTAAGAAAGCATCTATATTCTCTCCCAGATTAGTGGGCCTCTTAGCCCGCTTTGGAGTAAGTTTTCAAACAGTTAATCACCAAAGAACTGTAGCAAGAGGAGTCTTGGTACTTTAATAAAACAAAGAAATTGATTGCTTTAATCAGAGTATTCTCAAAGCTGCCTCCTTCCAGAGTGAGATAAGAGAGCCCAGGGAATGCCAGGGAGGAAGGAAAGGAGCAGATGCCTCGGAGCATGGACACCGATTCTGGCTAGTTGTAAAGAGTTGACTCGCTGAAACAAAACCCATGTAATCTGCTCCTCACTGACAAGGCAAAGCAAACAGTGCTGGCTTCCTGTGCTAATCCCCTGTTCCTTTCTTGCAGGTATCTCCACTACTGGGTATGATAACAGGGACACTCATCTTGATATTCGTACCTGCTGCTAAAAGAGGAAACGTTGAACAACTCGGGGGACATTTGAAAGCTCGGACCTCGTGGCTGAGAGACATGAAGGCACTGATTAGAAAGTAAGAACACCTGCTCAAACACACTTCGCCTCTAAAGCTTAATTTGAGCTTGAAATGGCCTGTGCCTCTTAATACTGTGAGAATAGCCCATGGCAATGTGCAAGGAGTTGCAGGAAGCTTCATTTGTGGAACTAGGAAAGAAAATAATAGTTATGTTGTCAGTAGGTATTGGCTATAATGACAAAGAAGGAGTCCAGCTCTTGGATTAACCCTTCCAAGATTCAGATGTAAGACTCTGCTTTGTTTGGCTTATACTTCAGATAAGTCAAGGCTTTTGAAGTGTAGAAATTTCTGTTATTACTTATGTTAAAAATTGTGCCACTCTTGTTCAGATGCTTTAAATCTCTTTTTTTTCCCTTGAAAGAGATACTCTACTGATGGTTAAAAGAGAATTAAATACCAGAACAATTTTAGAGGAGGAAATACACAGAAGCATGCACAAATGTATATGTATGCAATGTGCAAATTTATGTATATGTTTATATGACAGTGTCTGAATGTATGTGTATGGAATGTCCTTGGCTTGTTTTTAGCACATATTTCTGTGCCACTTAGTTTGATAGTTTATCCAAAGCAATGGCCCAGTGCCACAGCTGAGGAGTAAGGGACAACTTAAGGTAATCCAGGTAAGCAGATGGCAATTCACCCATCGTGCCACAGTGACTGAGTACTGATTCAGAAGTGGTCCCTCGAAAACCAGTTCCTTTGCAAAGCACCGCTGAAGAGCTAAGCAGGTTATGGTCAATTCAGCATCATGTATGGAGAAATACTCCCTGGATCTTATTCTCCATTGCTTTGTACATCATTTTATCTTTCACCCTTGGCAGAGTGAGGTGGGTAGGGTGGAAGAATGCTGTGGTTTTTTGCTGAAGCACCAATTCCTCTACTGTGACTCCTGCTCTTTCAGGTTTTTGCACTAAAACTTCCCTGGGATTTGCCTCTTGTCTCTCCACAGCCGCAGCTACGTTTTCTCCTCACTGGCCACCTCAGCTGTGTCCTTTGCCACAGGGGCACTCGGCATGTGGATCCCACTCTACCTTCACAGAGCACAGGTGGTGCAGAAAACAGCAGAGACCTGCAGCTCTCAGCCCTGTGGCACCAAAGATAGGTGAGGTTTGGACTCCACTGCTTCAAAGTGTGCAGGGAGAGTATTTACCAGAGGAAACATGCAGGTCCCACAGAGTCAAGTTATTAGAATATCTGTAATTTCCTCTAGGTCTTTGCAACAATGATAGGAAATGCTGGGATTATAAACTAGGATTTCTTTCTCTTCTTTTCTTCATTGCAAAAAGTTGAACCAAGGGAAAAAAAAAGATGACCTCGACTCTGGCTTAATTCTCAGACTCTAGTACATAGTCGGAAAAGAGATTTTAAAGTCTTAGCTTCGGAAGGCATTTGCAGAGCTGAGAAAGAGGTTTCTTAAGGCTCGCAGTTTTCTGTGACAGCAGCAGAATCAGCTGGCAGGCTGGGGCAGCCTCTGTGTATTGCTCTGTGTGATGGGTTTTGCTAAAGAATGGTGCAAAGATGTGGGACACTTTGGTCTGGACTGCTTGATATTACATGGTAGTTTGTATTCTCAGTCCCAGTTATATAACCTAGCTTGCAGCACACACACACTGCAAAATAATTCATTGTTTTGTGCTTTACCATGATGGCACAACACATAAAATCCTAAAAATAAAAGCATTTCTAAAAGTGAATGAAATATATTTAAAAAAACACCTTTTGCCAGTTCTTTTGCTTTTTAACTTCTGACAGAAAAATAACATTAGGAAAACCTTTATGCTCTAGCTGACACAATCCCATCGCTAGTAAACTATTTAGTGCTTTCAAGTACCCCTGACTAGGGAGCCCAGCGGGCAACCTAGCACTGTGCTGCAAAAATGCAGTTAGCAGAAAATAAAGCTGCAGTCAGACTGCCCATCTGCTGTTTACAAAGGGAAGTTTTCCACTCCTTGGCGACACCTATATATTCAGCCAGCCTGAAAATACCTTAATGCAGTTGCCAAAGACTCTATAATCCAAGTCCAGCACATATAATACAGAGAATCCTGAGAGCTACCGTCTCTTTAAGTAAGCACATTTCAAATATGTAATATAACAGCAAAAGAATACAACCAGCCTTTTCTGAAAGGAGATAGGAAGTCAAACTATGCTGAAAATCAGTGACATTTAGATATTTTTAGGTTTCCACTCTTGAGTCTCCTAGTGCCTATTCTGTCTGTGGTTTTCCTTCCACGATCAACACACAGGCTATTACTTCGTTTGGTTTGTACGTAATTAGTTGTACAATGCAAATTACAGGAAGCTCAACTCCGCACAAAGCAGCAGCCAGAGCCCTTTGCATCACTTTGGATGTAGGCTGAAGCCTTTATTAAAAACCAAATTTCATCTGCAATGTTTTTAAATTCAGGGGAAGGATGCTGAAATACACACGTGTTCAGCAGGAGGCTTTAAGCTTGCAAACGTGCAGATTTCCACCAGCTAATATACCCTAATAAAAATTGTAAAAAATAATCCACTCTTAATATTTTATTTTAATAGCTTGATCTTCGGAGCGATCACATGCTTCACTGGCTTCCTGGGTGTAATCACAGGAGCCGGGGCAACCAAATGGTGTCGATTAAAAACCCAGCGAGCCGATCCTCTTGTCTGTGCTGTTGGCATGCTCGGATCAGCCATCTTCATCTGTCTGATCTTCGTTGCTGCCAAGAGCAGCATTGTGGGAGCCTATGTAAGTATAAAATATAATCATTGGCATAAGCCATTCTCGTTCTCTTCACCTGTCTCTTTAGGAGATTCTGTGCCTCATCCCTTGCAGGAAGCCTGAGATGCTGGTCTTGCTTTTCCCATTCTGAATGTCCTTTATGTTGTTCTTTGGCACTACCTGCAAGTGCCTAGAGGGAAAATATCTTGGTGTTTATCCATCCTCCTGAAATGTCATCTGAATTTAGACTTGGGGATGGCTCATTCACGGAAGCCTGCGGTTCCTTTTGTGACTATCCAGTGCGCTGTTGCTCCTGCCTAATGTTTTGGTACAGGAACATAGCCTCCCTTACAATAAGAGTATTATAAGAGCAGCAGCACCAAATTATAGTTACAATACAATTTATCTGTGGGCATGCTTTTGGCTACCTGTAATTACCATTAATTTCCATTGCTAGGTAGCTTGCTGCAGACCAACAGTGACTACCATGTAATTTCAATTTGTTGCTATCTATATTGACACAGTACCTGGAAGTCCTAGTCATAACCCAGGAAGCCACAGTACCTACTGCTGAACAAATACAGACTGAAAAGAAGGCTCCTCCCAGAGTATTTATAATCATAATTATATATAAAACCCATCAGATGCTCCCAGATCACAGAGGAGAAGAAAACTTGTGATAATATGCAGTGAAGCCACCAAAGGGATGTTTAGTAAATCAGTCATGCAATTAACTTCTCAGTCGGATGAATTAGTGGTGACATACTGAAAAATATATGAGTAAGTAGTAATTGCAAAGTACATCTTCTATAGCTATTTAGAAGGTGTCAGAAGGCAACTCTGGTCATCTGGCTCACAGCATGGCTTAGCACTAACCTCTGGCTCAGTGCTCAGCTGAAAAATGACCATCTCAGACACCCTGGAAGAGGGTATTGGTGGTTGGCAAAGCATGAACCTTGCCTGTTCTGAATGACAAGAAGTGCCCCCTCCCTCCAACTCCTTGCTGGCCAGACTATCTCCTCTCTCAGACCTGATGACAGATGTTCATTCGTGGCGATTAATATCTTTATGCAGAAAGTCCTCCCTTTCTAAGATGGAAATGGTGTTTTCAGAAAATGTGGGACAAAAGGTAGTCATTGATCTCATTTTTACCTTCTGTTAGGGCTTTTTTTTTTTTTTTTTTTTTTAAGAAACCTTAAGACAGTGGCTTTTAAACTGCAATGTTTTCATCTGACCGTTCTTCATTGTGTGAATATATAAATATAGATGGTATTATTTAACCAGTCTTGGAAAGCAATTTATTTTATGATGCGTGAGCAGTAAATCTAATATAGAGTCAATGATTTACAAAGGAAGTTATATCTACATATGGAGAATGTGTGAAGAATATAAATATATTTGCTGATGCCATTCTCTTGCTGATGCACGCATTTGTTGCAGGTAACACAGTCTCTCCATAGCCTTAAATCTGTTTTTTTTTTTGTCCGCTTTTGGAAACTTGCATGCGGAATGGATAAAAGAGCCTAATTAGGCAATTGGGGAATTGGACATCTGAACTTTCTTTATAGATTCTGCTTCTGACAGTGGGCAAGTTATTTAACTTAGTTTTGTCTCTGAAAAATGAGTGTTTGTCACCCTTGGAGGATCAGGGTGGTGTCTAGATCACAAACGCTTGTAAATGACCTCAGGCTGGAAGATCTGTGTCCAAGCCACACGCTACAAATTCATATGGGTGAAAACAGTGACTTTCAGTGTCACTATTTAGTGTCACAGGTGCTGACCCCACTGAGACACTCGTCTTCGGTTGGAGCTGGTGCTGTGTGTTGGCTGAACTGGCTTTTCGAGGCAAGGTTCAAACGCGTGGGCTCTTGTTCTCAAGCTATTGCGATCCTACAGGTTTCCAGCCTGTTTAACTCCCTTTGCTTCACCAGGAGACCTGTTTTGCAAGGCTGCAGGAGTTTCTTATGACTGTCTGTTTTAAATATCACCGGACCAAAAAGGAATGTATATTTTCTGACTCAGAGTCAGAAAACTTCAATCTGATGGACAACATGATGAATTAGCCTCAAAAATTAGCCTATTTTGACGTAGACCTTACCTCAAAATCCATAATATAGCTTCTCCTGGAAATAATGCAGTAGCCTTTTGGAGTGGATTTTCTAATCTTTGATAACTTCCTTGACAACCATGTCCTGCAGCAGAGAAGGCCAGCAGCAGCTGTGAGCTCCGTGTGGCTGTCAAAGTCAAGAGCAATGTTCTGCTCCATCTCCCATGGTGGTGAAATTTCCAGACCTTCTGTGCTGTGACTGTCCACAGACTTGTTGGCTCAGAATCTTAAAATCATCCCTTCCATCCACTTAGAGGCCTAAACTTGGAGTTAGATGTCAAGCATATGGTCACCTGGGCTCTGATGGCAGGCAGATAACAGCTCCCTTGCTGCTCTGTTAGCAATCCAGTTTCAGTTTCAGCTTGGAGTCGTAATAAGTAAGTGAAGTGTTCAGCACCTCAGAAGAATCAGAGGAGCCCTTGTTTTATTTAGCATCTCGGAGTTTTGATTTCCTGGAAAAGACCTCCCTATTCTTCAGTGTGGTCACCTTGTCGCTTGCAGACTGTCAACTGTCTGCCCTCTTCTATCCCTGAACTCTCGTGCACTTTTGTTCCCCTGCTCAGTCCTGTCTTGTGGGTGGTTTTGACCTCTGAGGGCAGCAGCTCTTCCTCTTCTGCAGCAGCCACTCCTCTTTGAGCAGGTAGAGTTGTCATCTTTGCATCTAATCTCCTCACACTGATCCATCATATTATTTGTTGTAGCAGAACTAGTGGGAAAGGTGGAATGAAACGGGATTCAGTATCTTTTAGCTGCCCAGACACTTGCATTTCTGCCCTTTACTATCTTGCTTTCCTGTATAGTCCAGCCAGTTCTTACTCTGCCTATTTTTTTTCAGCATGTGTACTTTTGTCCAGCTCCCTAGAATAATAATTTACCCATCTTTAGGTACCAGTTTTCCTGAAATATTCAAGAGACAGTCAAATTTGTCTCTTGAAACCCATTAGCTGTATGGCAGCAATGCATCACCCTGCTCAAATGTTTCGTCCCCAGATTTCAGACTGAACATTTCGTTTGAACACCAAGAACCTCAAGAAAGATGCTTTGTGCTTCTTTTGAGCTCGTTCCAAGTTCATGTTGTACCTCAGTTTAAGCGTTTATTTCAATTCCTCAAAGACATTTTATGGTCTTTAAGAAACAGCAGCTCTAAATCCCTGGCTAAATCCTTGCCATGGAGCTTTTGCAGCTTCTCAGTGTCAGCTTGAGGGAACTTTTTGTTTTGTTTGCTTACCTGCTTTTGGAGCATCAATATTGCCCAGCACCAAGATGGAGCAGGACTTGCTTCAGTTGCAAGAGCACACGTGGGAGCCTTGCCCCATGTCACAGAGGACTTCAAACAAGGAAGATACAGGCAGATACGCACTTTGCAAGCAGCTGTGGAAGCAGTTTGTCTGCCACAATTTATAATCTGCTATGGTTTATAACCTGCTTAGATCAGCTGGAAGATCTGCTGGTGTGAATCCTCCAAAAACTGCTTCATTTATCATTAGTGGGATCAGAATTTGCTAGCTCTGATTATATAAGCAGCTCCAGGAAAGACTGGATGGGTAAACAGTTTCAGTGAGCTCATCCGAGGGGAGCAGCTGGTCACTAAATTCACGAGGTGAGTTGCAGTATATACAATGGAGCTGCAGCCAGAGGAAGACGAGTGTGTCTCTGCACCTGAAATCTCAGAATGAATGACAATTCTGAACATACGGGAGGAATCCAAAGCTGTGACCATTTTGGGAGCTGTTGCTCTACCCTGGCAGCTGCCCTGTTTAAAGTACGCATCCCCAGAGCATCTCTCTCCATCAGAAATGTCACATATCCTCATATGCCCTTTGCATTAGGAGAGCTCGTTTTTCTAAATCTTAACCTTTTTTTTTTTAATATCACTATCTTTTTGTCCTGATCTTTGATCTTCCTTCTGTATCTGCTTCTCTTTTACTGCTATCCACATATGAAACATGAGTTTCCTGAAACTCTATTGGGTGAAATGCACATCCAGCAATTCCAAACTGATGTGCACTGATAGCTGTAGCTTTTTAGTGGTTCATAAGGATTATGCTGAATGCCTGCAGGAGTGGTCAGGTTTACTTTCTGTATGTAATAATTCATATATATATATAAGTGTGTGTGTGTGCTTGTATATAGTTTATATAACCTTAAGGCAAGCAGTTGCTTGTTCATAATAATTAATGAAAAGACAGAGCGTGTCAAGGCTGCATTCAGCAGTGTGATTGCATCTTTCCAAGTTCTCTTGAATCTGGCCAGCAACAGTGGCTCCAAAGCTACGATAGGAGAATTTCAGTGTAGCCATGAGAGCCCACCTGGGGCTTGCTTACATGACCATGATTTCAACTTCTTGCAGAACCTTTGCATTCCTTGGATCTGGGTTTCTTGGCTTGGCAGTTGTCATTTTCCGTGAGAGCCAAGTTGAGAGCAGTGGCTAGTGGCAAATGGCAAGAGGAGGTCTCCTTGCTCCGCAGCTGGGCTGTAATAACTGGCTCAGCCGCCACCACAGAGGAAGCAGAGCCAGCCACAAGAAGAGAGGAATTAGGGAAGGGGAGTGTGTGGGAAACAGAGATAATTTTAGGAACAAATAGAGGAAGCTTTCTGTACGTCAGTGCGTAAGACAGGGCTAAATAAGGCGAACTGTGGCTGTGACATGATGGTCTGAGGGGTTTGGGCAGCTTCAGCCAGAAGTGAGTGCAAGACAAATGTCTTAGTCACGGCAGACCCGTAACCACCAACTTCTCCCACCTCTGACTGCCAGCAACAGCGTCTGGACCAGGGGCTGTGACCATCAGAGCCTGTCAAAACTCACTAGAAAAGCAAAGATTTTCTCCCTCTGGGTTTTTCCTCAAAGCCAAGATTACCATGGATTTGTGTGTGGCCTTTTCCATTAATGAATTGTGCCTTGTTCAACATAACAAAAGCTGAACATACAAAAGAGCGTAGGTTAATTAAAAGGGGAATCTTCAGTTACCTGAGTCCCAGTCTCCATTGCTGATAGTCTCTGTCCACCAAGAGGGATTCCAGGAGTAATATTTTCTTTCTAACTGTGGCCTTTCTGCCCTTTCTAACCATCTTTCCGAAAGTGATTGTTTAAGGGTGGAATCCCAAGGGTTTCTCTTCTTGTTGGTTTGTCAGCTGGCACCAAAGGTGTCAGCCTTTTATTTAGCTGTTCTGTAGATCATAAGCGATTCGCACTAACGAAGTTGTAGGCCAAGCCCCTCAGGCTTCAGATAATAATCTATAGATTCCTGTGTTTAGGATAAACCACGACGGGGAGTGTACTGCGTGCAGAAGAATCCTTTGAGTATGTTTGATACAAATAAGCAACAAAGGAAAATTTGCGACGGGTTATTTTTCCTTTGAATGTCAAGTGAATAAATCTTCTCCTTTTTGTGCATTTTCTTACAACAGATTTGCATTTTCATCGGAGAAACTCTTCTGTTTTCAAACTGGGCTATCACAGCAGACATACTAATGGTGAGTACACATTGAAAGAGCATCTCTGTCTTTTGGGAGCCAGAGCAGCTTGTCGGCTTCAAGATGCACCTATAATTCTCATTTCTTCCTATGCCTAGTCCCCGTTTCAGCATGTTCTATTTTTCATTTTTTTTAATTGCTGAAAAGGAGAATGAGATGAAGAGAAAAAAAAAAAAAAGAAGAAATCTCTTACGTTGCACTGAGCAACAAGGAGAGGAAGTATTCAGAAAAAAACGCTGTCAAGTAGATTCCCCAAATTCTAAGTATTTGTGCAAAACTCTACATACAAAGAATCCAGGCAGTTTTTCTGTATAGTCAGCACATTATTGGATTTTGTTATCAATAATCCCTATTGGCTTGGTTCTTTAGTAGGAAATCCTTCCCCTCCTCCCTCCTCAGCCGTCTCCGTCTCTCTTTGGCTTAGCTCCAGCCAGCCAAGCATTCAACACCTGCACAATAGAAAACCACCTCTGGGAGAGGGGAGAGGAAAAGAAAGTATAAAGAAATCCTGGACTATGTCCACCTATTCCGAGAGGAAACTGTCAGGGATTTTTCATCTCATGTCCTTCATTTTACATTCTCTGTCCACCAGAAAGCTTTTTTAAGTCTTTCCAATCAGAAAGCTGACCTCAGTGGCTATTTTTTTCCTGTGAAATAGTCTGGATGTTTGTTATAAATGCTGCATGTTTTCTAGGTGAGGATTACAGAGCCTTTCCCATCTGTCGTGTCTTGAAGTCCCATTGAGAGGGAGGTTACTTGTTGCTTATTGTATGAAAAAGAAATTAGGGCACGTAGCCATTACGGGACTTGCTTGAGGGTTTTTGGCAGGTTGTTGACTGAGCTAAAAATATATCCAGGCTGGCATCCATAGAAAGTTCCCTTGACTTGTGTTCATTGTTTAGGCAAATGTCAATAAGCAAACAGTCGAGCTCGGTATTTCTAGATACGAAGGCTTTGGTGTTGATATATTCATTCAGCAGAGAATTTCAAGCTTAACTTCTGTTTCTTTTCAGCAAGACCTAAGTTAAAGGTTGTATTCATAAGGTACTACAGCAGTTGCCAGCATCACCTTACCTGATGGACTGTCCGTGCTTAGCTATGTGCTTAACAGGGGGGTTGTGGCTTGTGCCACGTTCAGGGCTGTTGTGGCCGCCCATTCAGTTGTACCTGAACACTGACACACATGTACAGTCATGTACACTTTGTCTAGATTCCAGAGTGGCTTGAGGATCTGTCTTACGTGGCTGGCATCATATACTGCATTGCATTTTGCACAGATGCCTCGGCAGTTTATGCTGCTCTAGTGCAAAAGTATTCCCTAAAAATCATTGGAAATAATTTCTAAGATAAATTTTCCTAAACCAGACAAATGAGAGAAAACATAAGGAGCGTACAGAAATGTTAAAAATTGGAACTATTAATTGATGCCAACTCTTGAGCTGTTCACTTTGTCCGTATAGATACATGAACTGACTCAGTGCATTGTCAGGATGAGGAGGCCTGGAAAAGCGTTACACAAATAAATGTAACCGTGCACTTGGATGGATGCAAGCCTGCAAGCAGATGGTCTGCAGCGCGTTTCTGTTACTCGAGGGGCTTGAGAGGATGTTTATCAGACAATGGGTGAGAGCTGGGGTTAGAACTGCATTTGATGGAGAGCTTTATAGGAAGCCCTAGCCAGGGAAAGGTGTGGAAAGGCTTTAGCCAGATGCACTTGAAACGTAGGGCAAATTAATTTCTACTGATTGCTATTTATTTTGTGTAATCAGATGCATGTTGGTTCTTGCCTGAGGCTGGTGAAGAGTTTAAAAGCATTATTAACGTAAGCCTAACAACGCCTTCGTGATGTACATAAATACTATGTCATTTTTGTGGATAAAAGGCTTGCAGAGTAGGCTGGACTTGGCTCCCATGGATTTCAGGGAGAGGAGGCTCATGCCAGAAGTGAGGCTTTGGGAGACTGCAGTGATTTTGTCGCAGCTCTCCCAAGATTTGCAAATCTCCTGCCTGCTTAAGAGCCCAGTAAGGCACTTGAGAGGTTTTGCAGGTTTAAGTTCCCTCACAAAGCAAGGATGTGTACTTATCTTCATAATTAAATGCTAGCTTTTCACATTGCCTTTGCTCTTGTGCTCATGCTGGTGTAGCAGTCTGTATCCAGCCCCTCAAATTGGCTGCAGTAAAAGGTGGTGAGGGCTGGATCTGATAAACTGTCAGCACTGCAGAATGCACCACGCTGCCTGAGCCTTTAAACGCTTATAGTTGTTCCAAATGCAAATTTGTACAAAACAGGCCTTATTCTCCTGAGCACAAGTCTCCAGATCTCCTCCCAGGCACATGCTCACATAGTGCTCAGGGAAGGGGGCGGCTGATTCTTATGGTGCATGCTAATTATGAAACAGATTTTATCGACCATCTTTGCAAATTGGCCTCAAAATTACCCGAACCCCAAAGTAGCATTAAAACTGCCTCGTAACAGCAATAATGAATGAGCTGCAGTGCAGCAGGTGAGTGTGCAACACTGAGACACGCCGAGTGCTTTCCTCTTGGAGTGCTTGGGCCTTTGTAGAACCTGGTCTTAATAGTTGGTTTTTGCTTCCATAGCCCATCTCAAAAACATGGATGATGGATAGAGGCTTGATGGCGTTTTCGTGTAGGAACCAGGAGGTAATTTATAGGGCTACAGCTTTTCAGATCACAATCTTTTTAGATCTTTGCTGCAAAAAGCCGTCCTCCAGTGCATGCAGAGCCCCATGATGCTCATGCAAAATGCTCCATATATTTCCCCCTCCTTTTATGAAGTTAGTTCTTTTTAAAAGGTCATGAGCTGCCACATCAGAGATGAGCCTTAATGTTTTGTTATGGAGTCAAAGTCTGTCTATAGGCGTAAAAGCAGCATAGACTGCCTGGTGCAGGGCTGTGCTCCAGGCGTGGGGCACTGCATGCTTTTATTCAGATTGCCTTCCCTGTGGATTAAGACAATGATTATTACAGTATAAAACACTGTCCTGTTTTTACCAGTGAAGAAATAGCATTTCCAGAGGTTGCCCCTGTCACTCAGGAACCAGCCCAGCCTGCCTCTATTTCATTGTAAATTATTCCTTTGGACAGTGTCTCCCTGTGAGCCCTCAACTTTAGTGAAGGGTCTCTGGGCCACTCTGCTGTCCCTGCAACAGGGACACCTTGGCTATTCCCAAACCCTGACAATGGCCAGAAGGGTTTTTATTTGCTTTTGGTGCTGGAAATGAAATCCTCATGCGGTGTCTCAAAGATTGAGACTATCAAATAGTGAAATTGTTTTGAGCACAGATTTCCATCAGGCACACAAACATCAGGACTTACCTCTTCAGTGTGTGGCCTCTTCCTTGCCTTTCTGGTTAACTTCACTTTTCTTTTTCAGGACAGCTAATCCTGGTGGTTTCACTGCAGGAAGGGGATGTCAGTAGTAAACCATGGCCTTTCCAAACCTCTATTTAAAGAGGTGAGGTTTGCCAGAGCTGCTTGGTCAGCCTCCTTGCCCAGCCTCAACCTGGAGCCAGAGATGTGCCTGAACCAGCCCCTGGGCTCCCACCCACCTCCACTTTCTGTGGGATGCTCAAACCAGACCATGTATGGTTTGAATTTAGGTCTATTTTAGTATCAAAAGGCCTGTTTAGGGCTGTAATTTACTGCTGTCTTCCTAGAATGGCAGCTAATGTTTGCTGCCAACTGCTTCCGTCCCATCACAATAAAATACTTGTTAAGCAGGAATAAAGGGTGGAGTGGGTTTTTTGGTGATCTTGTTTTAAGTTTTTTTTTTTTTTTCTCTCCAGCATCCTTTTGGAGGAGGAGGAGGAGGGAAAAATCTCATGTCCGTTTGTCTGCTGCATGTATTTTGGCCACTAGAATTCCAGCCTAAACTTAGGAAGTTATTTGGCACCATAAAGTATATGGCAGACTTGTTTCAGCCGTCAATAAGTTCTTCAGCTAGGCAGAATGAAAACAGTTGGAATTCATTTTGCTACTTGAAAGACTAAATGTATACATAATATAGATATGCACACAAAGTTATTTACAATATGTATAAGTGGGAATGCATATTGGTGCACATATCTATACAGACACATGCACATATGTGCGATGCAGGTATTCGAATTGTCTCTCCAACTGGAACTATGTCAGTCCACTCTGGAAATGGTGTGTTTTGACTAAATTTGGAACTTACTTTGTCCTTTTGCTAAGAATTTGATCAAATATAGAGCCAGGCAGGCATTCTTTTCTCATTTAGCTCTCATGCACTTCTTATAGCAAGAAAAATATTTTAAAGGAAGTTTAGAACTGTTTCTTACATATACCCAGCTCTGCCTCTTGAATTAGGTAGTTTTGCTTTGTCCAGGCCACCTGTGAGATTGAAATCTGGGGAAGCTTCTTGGACAACCTGGACATAAATTGAGCAATTCAAGATAGCTGGAGAGGTTCTTCAGCAAGTTTCCTTATGTATTTATTTTCCTTCCTCTTCTTCTTTGCAGTATGTGGTCATTCCAACACGGCGTGCGACCGCAGTGGCCTTGCAGAGTTTCACCTCACACCTCCTGGGAGATGCTGGCAGTCCTTATCTGATTGGCTTTGTAAGTGTTCACAGTGGGGTTTGGCAAGGTTGTTTGCTCATGTCTGTTTTTATTTACTAACTGCTTGTCTAAAATGCCAAATTAAGCCATGCTGGGGCAGGCAGGTCTGTATTTAACAGTGGAAGGGAATCAGATGGTTCGCAGCAGTGCACCTTACTTGCACGGTTAAGGCTGTGGTTCCAACCTGGATGGACTGCTCAAGAAAGTAAAGTGAGTTGCTGCATCTTTTTAGCCTAGGACATTTCTAAAGTTTATAGAAAAGAGTAATGGCTTTTGTGGTGTGGACATAGGTCCATTAGGAATTAAATTGGAAGAGAGGGGTGTGTTTAACTCTGTATCTGGTCTCATAAGGCGAATGTTTCCTTGAGAGTAACAACATGCCGCCCTTCTGCTCTACTAATATGCTGATATTCAAACCTGCTCTGTGTTGATGGTACAAAATCCACAGAACGGACTTTTTTTTTTTTCCATTAGTAGTATTCCTTCCTGTTTCTGCTGCATGTGTTGGCTTTAGTCTGATTAAAGATCATTCTTAGTCCAGCACAATCCTAACAAACTTGGAGACCCTCCTCCAAACCTGCCATCAGAAAACATTCCCCAGCTGAAAATATAAACCTTGAAAAATGTAATGAGGAAAAGGTAGCTGACATATTGGACCACCTTTTTGTTGAGTTTGATACACTGAGAATACGGTTCAGCATTTATAATATACAGTAACCTCTCTGCAAAACACCAAGCAGCACCTCGTTTTTCACTGGAGGTAGAACAGTTTTCTAGTGCATTAACCGGGATCTTAATTTGTCCCGGCATCTGGGAAGTGCAGCCGATGGGCTTTTCTGGCTCAGCACCACACACTTCTCAGCTGGGCTGCTTGTCCTGTCTTTTTTTGTTTAGCAAACATTTCTCTTCTGCTCATCTCAGAGAGGTTGGGCACGTATTTCACCAGTAACACACACTACATACAGGTATATGTGTCATATGTATATATATGTTTTTATATTTATGTTTACACCTGTTTACTTTGGAATGCGAAGTCACAACTTGAGCCCAGTTCTTCTCTAGTCCTCTGCAGCTTGTGTGAAGAGATGCAGATAAGCCCAAATGGACGAAGGAACTGAGGATAAGCCCCAAAGAATAAATACGTGTAACTCAGCTTAGTCTTCATTTTCTCCAATGCTCTGGGCTCCCCAGGAGAAATAATCTGATTTTAACATATATTGGAGAGTGGTGAGAGAAGCACGTGACTGGGGGAGACCGTGCTGCACAGGGGACAGTGAGGAGGGGACAGGGTGGCCCAGAGGGACCGGAACTAGCCAGGCCAGCACGCTGGGCGTGCAGGCGATGCGGGTGGCAGGGTTGCCTCGGGTGACTCCGTCGCGTGTTCTTCCTTTTTGCTACCGAAGAGAGATGTCCAGGAAGGGGGGCCAGGACCCTCAGTGATTGCAATTAATCTTGAAAGTTGCCTGGGGCTCCTTAGTGTCACAGATTAAAAAAAGAACTTTGGTTGTGGAGGATAATGTGCCTTGCCATAATGGTGCTCAGAGACCAAACAAATTGTGCATTACTTAAGGAAGTCCGCCTGAAATATGTATATGACCAATTTAATTGGTTGCCCTGGGCTTTCTTTAGACTGGGAAAATATTAATTATGATTTGAATTTAGCCTTCGGTAAGGCTGTAGTGGTTGGGCAGTTGTCACCAGGGAGGAGATACCCGAGCGCAGAGCTCTGTGGCAGGGCACCGTTCCTGGCACCAGCACCCAGTTCTGCTGCCCCCGGGCCGACTCGTGCTCCCATGCTACATGCTTGGAGAAAATCCTAGAAGCACCAGGAAGCAAATCCTATTCCGAGCACAAAGGCAAGCAGCGAGGGCTGGGATGAACCCATGGTTTGGTCTGCTGGAGTCTGCAGGCTCCAGGCGTGGGAACTGGCCGGCTGCGCTCCAAGGATGGAGACCTTGCACGGGGTCGAAATCCCACCCAAGCAGCTCTGGTGAATGCTCTGGATTATAATCAGGATTTTCAAAGCAGTCTGTGGGAATCAAGCAAGCAAATATGGCTTATATAGTTGTGGGGAGGTCACTGCTACTTTCCAGCAGTGCCCTTAGTACCAACTTGGATATCCGTGTCCTTGCAGGGCTAAGCTGGCTCAGCCATTTGTCCCTGTGCATTTGCTGGGTACCGATAAATGTTGCATTGATCTTAAAATCCTTTTGTGGAATGCAGAGGGTTTTTAATAGCTGCAGTCCTGTGTGGGGGAGAGTTTTTCTGTCGTACAGGGTGCTGGAAGAGCTGAAGGTCAGGCTCCAATTTTTGTGTGGCTGTCCTGATTTCCGAATCTTGCAGTGCAGGAGCGTCCATGCTCTGCATTTATGCGGTTCTTACAATCCCCTGAAGTGCCAAGTATGTGTTGCTGTTTAAAAGCAAAGTGGAAAGAAGCTTCTGTGTGTGTTTTTTTAATGTCTCTTTAAATATTGATAACTTCAACGGGATTTTATTATGGCAAAAAGTCTTGCAATGAAGTTATGCAAATGCAGTTTTTAGGGCACGGCTGTAATTTGCTACCTGCCAAACACCAGGATCAATTACTATAAATCAGAGCTGCCTCTTCATTCACAAACAAGAAGCTTTGCTGCAGTATTTCATTAGATGTGATAGCTTTTACTCCTAGATAGCTGTAGCTCTTTAAGGACGTTTGTGATAACCCACAGAGTTTAAACAAACGCTTTGAATGGCTTGGAGTCTATCTCCACATTTTCATCTTAAGGTGACCAGGGGGATCTTCCTCTGATCAGTGCATTCCTCCCAATACCACTCATCTCTGGATGATCCCAGTATGCCTGTCCTTTGCTTCCTATGGGGCAGTGAAGGTCTCTCCTCCTCTTTGCTCTGCTCTATCTGCTTGTGCCCCAGCAGCACGGAGGTGCAAGGAGGTTTGTGCAACTCCTGAGATTTCCTGGAAGGGTTTGAGCAAGAAGCCTATCGCTTTTCACCCTCCGCTTTTGTCCTTTCCTCAAGTTTCTTACGCAAGTCAGTTGATAAACTAGATCTAATGAGCCACTTAAACAGCAAGAATGCTAATGGCTTTCCTTCAGCAAATAGCAGTGTTAATTATCAGCGGTGTATCTTGACTGAGTATCAGCAAGGCAGATCGGCATCTAATGAGGGGCATTCCAGGGAAAACTGTAGTAAATGCAGCAAGGGAGATACTTGTGTCATGAAAGTAATTGTAATGGGAGCCGGACATTTTGCAGCCTTCTCGTCCTCGTTTGGGACAGCCTTTTGGCGATTTGCTTTGCAAGATATTTCCAACGTCCAAGTAAATACTGAACTCCGATGGAAAGCAGGTCTGTATGTATAAGATTGTCTGTGTAAGGAAGTTGAATTCATGTGTTATGGTTTAAAATTTGTATAGCATGGCTTAAAAATGCTGTGGCTGCCGTACAAACATACCCCACGTAGGGGCCATCGAGTGCTTGCTAGTGGGCACCTAGCACCATGTCCTGTGGCAGAGCTGCAGTCTGAAGGAGGAAAACAGATTCTGCAACAAAATCGTGCAAGTTATCCCGGTGGTAGTTGCTGCAGCACGTTGGCTTTCATGAAAGCTGCCTCCCCTCTTGCCCCGGGACACCTTCCAGGGAGTGTCTCCAGGACAGCTCGCTCATTTTCCAGGACTTGCTTCCCATGAGAGCAAAATTAAGTTCCCAGTGAGTGTTTCTTATAGCGGTTTATCAGATATTGCTTCTGAGGAGCTGTCCCACCCCGCCACTGGTACTTGCGCTTGAAAGCTCAGCCTGGAGGTTTGTCTTTCCCCTGAATTCTTTCCCCATCATGTGATCCCATCCCCATGATGGCCCTAAGCTGGTGGTAATGAGGATTAGTAGCTGGAGAAGCCTGGCTGGGAATACTTCTATCACGAGTGACTTACTGTAGCATCTCGTTCACCGTGGTGCTTGTGTATATATTATGGGTTTATAATATATGCAAGTGTATGCATGATACATCGGCTCTCTTTCACCCATCTCAGCCTTTAGGTGGCACCTTCCAGCCCCTGATAAAGACAGCGGATGTCACGTGAAACACGTTCTTACTTTCAATCATTAGCAAGTGCCAGCTGCTCCGGAGCCCAAACTGGATCCCTCCCCATGTAAAGGCTTTTCCCCATGGTCACACTTGCATAGGAGCCAGATTGTGATGGTTTAAATGGGCCTTGCCCTTGCAGTCTATCATTTCAAATATGCATTTCCAGGAAAAGAAACCCCAATCCCTCATGCTTATTCTCTGCTTTCCGGAGCAATAATTTTAATTTCAGGAATTCTCTGCTCCTGACTGAGTTGAGTGATTAAAGTCATTTTTTTTTTTTTTCATGGTGCATGGAAATCCCAAATCTTTGATATAGCTGGCAACTGAAAAAAAAAAAAATAAATAAAAAAAAAGGAGGGAGGGGGAGAATTAAGCACCTGAAGATCAATCTATTTAGGATTTATCTCCTTATTGCAATGAGCTAACAAGCTTTCCACTTCTGCTGATTCAGCAACAGAAAAGATTTAAATCTGTCCTAAAATCCAAATGACTTCCCGTATATAAAACGCTCCTTGCCAAGGATTCACAGCTTGCTCGTTTTTTTTTTTTCTCCACCCCAGAGCCGTTGTGCCCCTGACATTTGCTGTGACTTTGGTTCGAAGCGCAGGCTCTGGGGCCCTTGCAGAAGATCACCCGCACACCCGGGTCTCTAGTTTCTGCAGCAAGGGGAAAGGTGCGAGTCCCTGCTGCTGCTGAGCCACAAGCCTGCTCCAGTGAACAGCAACAGGGTAGAGGGTGACTGGCATCTGCCCCCGAGGAAATAAGGGTGCAGAAAGGAGCCCGCCCTGATGCTGAGCGCCCCAGCATAAGGCATGAGTGAGAGTGGTGGAAATCGTCCTCGTCGCAGCAGAACTGCGGTTCCGCTGGGGATGATCTGCTGAAATCATTGCAGCATGAAGCTCCCGCTCCTCAGGCAGGAGCACAGGATGTCCACACCAGAATAACCTCGGGGACCAGCCCGTGTCCTCTCGCAGCGACCACGCGTGGCCAGTGCAGCCCCGCAACGAGACCCCGTTTTGGGAGGAGATATCTGCTCTTGGGCTTCTTGCACATGGGACGCACAAACAGGAAGGGAGCGCTGCTGCAAGGAGAGATGTGTCACCTTGGCCACTTGCCGTGGACCGGGATGCTGCCAAGGGTCTGTTCCCAAGGCTCCTGTGCCCAGGGTCTGTTCTGGGGCTCCTGTGCCCCAAAACTTATTTCATCATATGAGTAGACACCTCCAACCTTCCCGTTTAAGCAGTGAGCGACCTTCCGTGCTTCTACATTTCCTAAGGCATGGGAGGAAGTGCAGGAATCTCTGCCGTGGGCAGTGCCGGGGCAGACTCCGGTGCTGTCCCCAGCCAACTGGTGAAGCTGGTTGTGATCTTAGAATTGCCATTAAGATTAGCAGGGGCTTGGGTTTTCTTCCTGTCAAGCAAACGTGCCACTTTAAGAAGTGAAATCACTTTTAGAATATAATTGCTTTTCTCCTTCTGCAGCTTTCAGAACTAATATAAAATAATGAGCTTTATTTCCCCTTTTTATAGTATGTTTTTCAAGCCATTTAGCACAGCATAAATGTTTGTGCTCCCGCACAGGCCCACAGAATTGCTTACTTCTCCTTTATAAAATCCCTTATTTGGGATTTCTAGGCTACATTTACATTTTTGATTTTTGCAACGATCCAAAGCAAACTCTCACATGCACCCCTGATTTGAGAGTGGGAGCCCCTGTGAACTCAGTTGTCACTGTGAGGTTATGAGGAGCAGCCTGTAAAGGAATCGCAGTGGAGGGAGAAATGGCCTCCCTCAAACTGGTAACGAAATCAGATATTTGTGCCTTGATACTGCATTGGAAATAGCCATTTATGTAGTAAGATTTGTGCCCGAGAGGCAAAATTAGAAGTTTAGTCTGCAAAGTCATTCCTCTTGGTCTGAGATCCCTGTTGTACAATGAGACAAAAGATGTGAACTTTCTTAAAAAAAATAAAAAACTTTAAAAAACTTTTTTAAAGTGATGATGTTATCAAGGACTTCTACTTAGCCTGCAGAACAGCAGCAGGGCTGCCTAGCTGCTTTTCCGGTTGAAAGTTTGGGGTGAAAGCTTGGGTGTTGTTGGTCACTTAGCAATTAGCACAAGAGAAGAACAAATCTCAACAAATCTCAAAACAGAGCTCGCCTTGGCCACATGTGTCAACCCCACTTTTTCCTAGTCGTGATAGAGCGAAGGGACCAAACGTGACACGAAGGAGTGGATTGCCAGATCATGGGGCAACAACTCGGAACGCTGCCCTTAGGGGGAGTCTGGAAATGCAGAAAATTGGCAGTGCGGAGCAGACTGTTTGGCAACGTGTCCTCCTTGGAACATATGTGTTTCATTATGTCCTGTGTCCTCTTGCGAGGAGGTGCCAAAGCCCCAGCCTTAGCAGGTGGCTTGTAACCGAGTGGAACAAGCGGGAGGGAACAGGGAGTGCATCAGATAACAGCAAAAGCCTGTGTGGGAGACCCAGAAAAGCTGTGGAAGATGTAAGAGATTTTGAGTTGGTTGAGGGAGGTCTAGGAACCATCAATGAGAAGTGTAGATGGTTTGGTGGGAAGGATGGCACGTGTGATAAAGAAAAAAGCACAGTGTTATTCCTAAAATGTGCCTTGAGTGAAAAAACAACAAAATGCCAACAAGAGTTGTTGACATAAAAGATTAATACAGTGCCTTAGAAGGAAAGGTGTGGGGAAGGCTGCATTAGGAGTTTTATTTACTGGAGATTATATTTTCAAAGCTCTTTTTAGCCTGGCATGTCGTGTCATCCTTAGGATAAAGCAATCAGGAGCATGTGGCTAGCTTTTCATCCTCTGTTGCTGCTTTATCATGTGAATTTGCTGAGTGATTTATTGTCCGGTCCTGCTGGAGGGTAATTGTATCCATTCCCAACACTGAAAAGTATTTCAAAATTTCTAGGTGAAAGATGCTTTGAAATGCAAAGCCCCAGTTGTGGTTATAGGACATGGGCAAACTGATTCGGTGTCCCATTTTGATTCATAATAATAAGGAAGATGTTGGTAACTAAGGTGGCTGGATTCAGGAGGGAATAAATTATCAGCTGAGGCCCCCATCTCCTGAGTGCAGTTCTGCTGTGCTCCTGGGCTTGCACTCTCTTCACATCCGAGCCTCGTAGCCATTTTTTAAATCAGTCTCTTAAACTAATTGCCACGGGCTTTTACCTTTCAATCAAAAGACTTTTTTAACAGTCTGCTCTCCCATGAAACTTCATAATGCTCCTGATTTTCTGTGCTGTTGTGCACTATGAAAAAATGCCCTTTGAGAGGACAGAAACACTTTCTTAGCTCTATCTCAAGCACTGAAATTTCCTCCTCCTCCTTTCTGTGGTAGGGAATAGAGCAGAAGTCTGGCTAAAAACCTTTAATACTTAAGTTAGCTGCCCTGATCGCCTGTCCACTTTAACCATGTGCACGTGTTGTGTGGGTGGCTATTCAGGGAATCCTCTTCTCTCCCTTGTGCCTCTTTTTCCTCTAAGTGACTGAATTTTTTGTCCTTCTTTCCTAGATCTCAGACCTGATACGACAAAGCACCAAGGAGTCCTCGCTCTGGGAGTTCCTCAGCTTGGGCTACGCACTCATGCTCTGCCCCTTTGTCGTTGTCCTGGGAGGGATGTTCTTCCTGGCCACGGCCCTGTTTTTCCTCAGCGACCGAGCCAGAGCTGAACAACAGTGAGTAATCCAGCGAGCGGGGCACTGCGGAAGCCTGTTCTCTCTCCTGAACCTTTTGCTTGTACTCTTGTCCCAGACCTTGGTCCTTCAGATGAAGGGGGTCGGGCTTTGTGTTCAGGAGCTCAGCTCAGCGGAGTGCATGGTGCTGCACGAAGTGCAAGGGCTTGGGTCGTGCTGGCTGGGCATCCTTTACAGGCTTCTGCTGCCGTGGAGCTCCGTCATTGGCTGCGTGTCCCCGAGAGGAGCATGTTGTTTGAGATCACAGGCCCTTTTTTACCCTCGCGTGGGCATGTCACAGCTCAGGCCACCTGCACTGAGAGGTTGCTGAGTTGGGGAACCTCTGGATTGCCAGGTGAAGAGCAAGAGAGACCTTATAGAGAACTTGGTGGTCAACCTTGAATCCCTGGTCCCATCTCAGCCACCTTGCCCTGCTCACTACCTCAATGTACGGAAGCATCAGGCAAGAAAGAAGCAAGCTGTGTATGCGGGGACACGTACGCTCCAGGGTGGCTGCCTTAAACATAGTCTCTCCCAGTCCCTCATTGCACCTTGTAAAAAAAAAGCTACTGTTTTTCAGTAAAGAGACCGATTCGGACCACCTCACGGTTGGCAACTACAGTAATTCAGAAGACGCTTCCACATGACACACACACTTCTGGGGTTAGTCCTTTTCTCCTAATTGTTGAACGATGCGAGTGTCTGTGTATAATGTAGCGTTGAACACGTGGGCAGGTGCTGAGGCTACTGTTGTGACTGAGCTTCCCCTTTGTAAATCCCACTGCAGTGTGTCTGCCCAGGCTTTGTACTGGTTTAACAGCACACGCGTAGGCAAGCTGGGCAAGAACTCCAAGGAAGAGATACTGGGAGCCCTTGGTAATTCTGCAGCCAAGGAGAGAGAAAGCAGAGTTGAGTTGGCTCTTGAAAAGAGAGGCGCTGGCATTGCTAGGTGCGAGACGGCCAGAGGGAAAATGAGGTGTGTGGAAGTGGACGTAAGTGGGCGAGCTGCTTGTGTGATGCTTCCTGGCTCACGCAGCCCTATCAGATGGAGATGAGAGGCTTGGAAACAGCGATGCAGACGGTGCTGCAGCCACGTGCCAGCAGTTCCTCCCTCTGTGTTATTAGCATGTGCAAGAAGTGGAGAAAGGAAAGGGTTTCCTCTTCCCAGGTTATTGCTCCCCTTCAGCATCCTTCCCTTTCCCAATCTGTCTGCTTCACATTTGTCTATGAACTCCATTTAATTCATTATACACCGGGATCCCCGGGGTACTCTTGCAAACTGCCTCCAATGCAGAGGGAGAGCATTTGTCATAAATAACAGCTAACCAAGTGATTTCTCCCAAATCACCTGTGCTGCTCTGCTCCTGGATGCCTCCATTCCCTGGCAGAAATGCTTAAACACGTTTCAAACGCCGCGCTGGGCACCAAGGCCGCCTGACTGCCGCCCAGGTGAGAGGATTTCTTCTGTTCCCACCGCATTCCCTCGTGCCGCTCGGCCCGCGGCGCTTGGAAACGCACTCGGGCAAAAGGAGTCGATGGAGCTGCGGGAGCCACAAACGCCAGGGTCACGGCAGCCGTTAAGGCCCTTGGTCGTGAGCAGGTCGGGGCACAGCAGGAAGATGTTGCAGACCTCTCTGATGAGCAAATGTGAGAGCAGAGAAGCAGAACGCTGCAGCCCTGCTCTGCACACGGAGACGGAGCTTTCCCGGCTCGAATCCCGAGTCCTGCGTTTCCTCATTAGGATTTCTATCTTTTTTGCTGCATTCTGCTTGGGCATTTGCTTAGGAATCATTTCTTCTTCCAGACAGTGCAGAGCATCAGGATAGCACGCTCTCTTTCCTGCAAGGCTTCCTCCAGTTTCCACCGTGCTTACTTTCAAAAGCAGCATTTACGAGCTTTATTCTGATGCCTTGTGGAGTTTTGGTGCTGTTTTTATCATTGCCACCACTCTAGGACTATTTTGCAGATTATTTTTTAGCACTTTTGCACTCAAAGAGATGCCCCCTCTTACAAAAAGGCCACTCAGAGGACTTCCTTCATAAAGCAGCTCCTTAAAAAGTCCTGCTTCTTCTGTACTCAGGGATGCAGGCGTAGCAGAGAACATAGGGCTAGCAGAGTGAGACGCAGGAAATCATAATCTCATAATTTCTGATGAAGTTTTTAAAATACAAATTTAATCCCACCTCTCCAAAATATGATAGAGAGAAGTGTTGGGAAATGATTTCTGTAAGAGCTCTTTTGAAAGAACTAGGGTGTCAGTTCTGTTGGCCTCGGTGCTGCTCAGCTATAATTCCTGTTGTAATTTCAGGGCACTGTGTTGTAGCTCTTCTCCTGTTCTGTGCTACTGTGCTGGAGGGTCAGAGCAATGTTTTTTTTCTTTCCAAATATGGCTGCAATCTATATCGTATTTTTCTTAATTGCTTCAGGAAAAATTTTAAGACTTGACTTGAAGTTGGGGATAGATCCACTGGAAATCAGTGTCTACCAGGGCAAAATCTGCCTGTGGCAGAGCCCTTCAGGAAACGATCAGAAATACAGCAACATCCCTTTTACTCTAGCTCTAGCACTGATAATTTATATTTTTTATTTAATTGCTGATATTACGTATCTGAAAGCTTGAGATTTTCTGTTTTTTCCCATACTCTTTGAGAGAGATAAAGCGATGCACTGGATTTGTTTCTGGTCAGTCTCTCTCTGCATTCTGCATGGTGTTTGATGGGTATTTTTGCCAAACATACAGCAATGCAGATCAGGCAGCAGGATGCAACTGCAGCATATTTCCATGGTGTGGGCACAAACAGGAATAAATAACTGCACTGGTGCAGCTGGTCAAAACAAAAGAATACAGATATTTAACTAGCTGGCACTCAGACACCTGAAAGCATAAACAATTTGCCTGTTTTAAGACTAGTAGAGAACCAAGCAACAGGTCTAATACGTTTTCCCTTCCTCCTAAAAATTAAAATTAATCATTTAGTAAAAAAAAAAAAAAACAGGTTTTTATTCTTAATGTCTTTGTCAGGTGTGGAGGAGACTAGCTAGCTGAATAGCAACGGTGATTAATGTTTCATTTTAAAAGTGATTGGTACAAACACAAGAAAGAGAATATTCCTGTATTGCAGATTAGATAGTGCAGGACCCAGAAGGAGCAATTGTTAGTCCATACACCTCTCCTGCTGCCTTAAACATGGCACATCTGCAAATTACACTACAGGAAAAATGAGAATAATCCATTTTCAGACTCTGTCTTCTGCTGCACATTGGGCTTATTTTTAGACTTTTCTAGAACTAGATATAAAATGATCTCCCAGTTCTCCTATAACAGCAATTTGAAAGTGTCTGACCTTATTTTTGCTTTGCAGATTCTATTATGTGGGGCAGGGAAAGGACTTGCCAAGCTGTCAGCCCTCCTTTCTCTGATGTTTCTGTGGTAGCAGTTAGAGACAGAAAAGACCCATGAGACGACCCATGTTGCTACCAGCACAGGACAGGCTCCCCCCATTAATGGTGGTACAGATATTAAGCTGATATGCTAGATTGATAGGACATGATCCATTCTGGTAGTTTATGTTGCTGAAAAGAACATTTCTTCCACAAAATGTCTTAAGAGGAACTTGTGAACGTTTTTTTTCTTCTTTTAAGTCAGATGCTTATTTTGAAGTGATGTTTCAGTGATGCATTGAAACAGAGATCCAGATTGAGGGTGTATCATGAAGCTTCTGAGAATAGTGAAATACTTTCAATAGTGATAATCATGAAGCTTCTGAAAATAGTAAAATACTTTCAATAGTGATAAAGATTCTCAGTGCCTTCTAGCCTAGGTAAGATACCCATGACCTTTGAAGGCATGTGTAACTTAGAGCAGAGAGCCCAGATTAGGACACAGAGGATCTGTGATGATGGAAGAAGAGACTTAAGGAACATTTGGGGGAATTAGAGAACGATGTGATAACCATGTACAGACTGCAGGTGGAATAAGGTTAGAATATCAAATGATTTGTGTAAAGTGAAAAGGCTGGGGATGTGAAGAGGTGATGAAAGTGCAGGTGGTTTTATTGCTAATGGAAAAAAGAAGCTTGTAAGGCTGTTTTTTTTTCCCGCTTATAAGTGTATTTTTTTATTCCGTAAATGCCACTGGCAGATATAAGAAAGAGCCGCAGACTTCGTGCAGATGGAAAAATCAACCTCGTGTCTCAAAACCCCTGCGTTGCTCTGTCCCCACAGTCAGCCTGCAGGATCCCTACAGGTTACGTGGGAAGGTGTCCGGGTCAGGATGGCTGTTCCCAAGACACGTTGAGCTGCAGCGCGGTCCTTCCTCGGCAAACACTCACGGAGTTCAAAGTTGACAGCTTGAGATAACTGCTGGCAGCAGGACCTTGTTTAAGCGCAGGCGCAAGGACTGAGCCAGCTGGGGCTGGCAGAGCTCCTCCTAACTGCAAGCTGAGACTGAGGGCAGAGCTTCCTGCTCCTCTGAGCCCAGGTGCCGTGGAGAAAGGAAAACAAGATCCCTAGACCCTTCTTCACTGCTTAAGTGCTGTTGTACAGCAAGAAGAGAATTTCTCTTTGGACCTGAAGCTATAAAGGCAAATCTTGTTTGTCCTAGAAGAGCTGCCAGACCCGAAGCTCCTTGGAAGCCTAGTGCCATTTTGTTGTGACCTTCAGGAAGATGCATGTTATCCCTAAAATGCCTATCCTCTGGAAAAGAGGATTAGAAGGTGAAAAGTGCACTTAAATCATATGCTTACAACAGAATCAATATGATGCGTTGTCATCGCAAAGGGCAGTTCTTGGCATGCAAAGATTTTCTGCAGCAGAAGATATCTTAAACTCATACTAGTAGATTGTCCTTGCTAGGGGCACAAGCAGAGCTATGACATCTGACCAGATCCCGTGCAGGTGGCTGGAAGCACTGAGCAGAGGCAGCTTTCCAAGCCCCAAACCCTTCCTGATGCAAGGAAATTTAAGAACAAATTGTGAAAAACTCAGCATTTCTGAAGTCTGTC